CACTGGGAGCACTGGGAGGGGTTACTGGGAGCACTGGGGACTTTCCCAGTCCCTTCCAGTTCATCCCAGTTCATCCCAGTATGGTTTAATCCTTTCCCAGTCCCTCCCAGTTTGATTTTAACCCCTTCCAGTTCATCCCAGTTTGGTTTAAACCTTTCCCAGTCCCTCCCAGTTCATGCCAGTGAACTGGGATTTGCTTTAAACTGAACTGGGAATGATTTAAATTAAACTGGGATGAACTGGGAGGGGTCACAATCAAACTGGGAGAGACTGGGAAAGGATTAAACCGGACTGGGATGAACTGGAACGAACTGGGAGGGGTCACAATCAAACTGGGAGAGACTGGGAAAGGATTAAACTATACTGGGATGAACTGGGAGTGATTTTCTGGTTTATACCGGTTTATATTGATTTATATTGGTTTATACCGGGTTATACCAGTTTATATCAGTTTATACCAGTTTATATTGGTTTATACTGGTTTATGCTGGTTTATATTGGTTTATACTGGTTTATTCCAGTTTATACCAGTTTATTCCAGTTTATGCTGGTTTATACCAGTTTGTACTGGTTTATATTGATTTATACCATTTTATATTGGTTTATACCGGTTTATACTGGTCTGTAGTTTATATGGGTTTATACTGGTTTATACCAGCTTATACCAGTTCAACCAGTTTATACCAGTTCATACCAGTTTATATCACTTTATACCAGTTTATACTGGTTTTCATTTGTTTATACTGGTTTATACCAATTTATACCAGTTTTTTACTGGTTTATATGGGTTTATACCGGTTTACACCAGTTTGTACCAGTTTATACCAGTTTACATAAGCTTATACCAGTTTATACCGGTTTATACTGGTTTGTACCAGTTTATATTGGTTTATACCGGTTTATACCAGTTTATACCAGTTTACGGTTTGTATGGGCTTATATGGCTTTATACCAGTTTATACTGGTTTATACCGGTTCAAACCGGTTTATACTGTTTTAAACCAGTCCATACTGGTCCTTACTGGTTTATACTGGTTTGTACCAGTTTATATTGGTTTATACCAGTTTATACCAGTTTATACTGGTTTACGGTTTGTATGGGTTTATATGACTTTATACCGGTTTGTACCGGTTTATACTGGTTTAAACCAGTTCATACCGGTTTATACTGGTCCTTACTGGTTTATACTGGTCTATACTGGTGCAGAGTAACTGGCACGAGGTCGTGGACAGCTTTGACGAGATGAACCTGTCGGAGGCGCTGCTGCGCGGGATCTACGCCTACGGCTTCGAGAAACCCTCGGCAATTCAGCAACGGGCGATTCTGCCGTGTATCAAAGGTGAGAGCGTCCCAGTATAAACCAGTATAAACCAGTATAGACCAGTATGGCTGAAAAACCCGCCCAGTACAGCCCCAGTGTCCCCCAGTTCATCCCAGTATAGACCAGTATGGCCCCAGTGCCCCACGGCTTCGAGAAACCCTCGGCAATCCAGCAATGGGCAATCCTGCCGTGTATCAAAGGTGAGAGAATCCCAGTATAAACCAGTATAAACCAGTATAGACCAGTATAGCTCAGAACCCCCCCAGTATAGACCAGTTCGTTCCCAGTCCATTTCCAGTCCGTCCCAGTCCCTTTCAGTCCCTCCCAGTCCATCCCAGTATAGACCAGTATAGACCAGTATAGCCTCAGTTCATCCCAGTATAGACCAGTATAGACCAGTATAGCCTCAGTTCATCCCAGTATAAACCAGTCCATTCCCAGTTTGATCCCAGTTTGATCCCAGTTCATCCCAGTCCATCCCAGTCCATCCCAGTTCATCCCAGTACAGTCACACCCCCATTTTTCCCATTTTCACCATTTTTTCACCCATTTTCAGGTTATGACGTCATCACTCCTTTAGGGTTATTCCCACCCCCATTTTTCCCATTTTCACCATTTTTCCCATTTTCACCATTTTTTCACCCATTTTCAGGTTATGATGTCATCACACCTTTAGGGTTATTCCCACCCCCATTTTTTCCATTTTCCCCATTTTTTCACCCATTTTTTTCAGGCTATGACGTCACTCCCCCATTTTTCCCATTTTCACCATTTTTTCACCCATTTTTCAGGCTATGACGTCATCGCCCAGGCCCAATCCGGCTCCGGTAAAACACCTGTAAGGGTCACACCCCCATTTTTCCCATTTTCACCATTTTTTCACCCATTTTCAGGTTATGATGTCATCACACCTTTAGGGTTGTTCCCACCCCCATTTTTCCCATTTTCACCATTTTTCCCCCATTTTTCCAGGCTATGACGTCATCGCCCAGGCCCAGTCCGGCACGGGTAAAACACCTGGAAGGGTCACACCCCCATTTTTCCCATTTTCACCATTTTTTCACCCATTTTTCCAGGTTATGACGTCACTCCCCCATTTTTCCCATTTTCACCATTTTTTCACCCATTTCCAGGCTATGACGTCACTCCCCCATTTTTCCCATTTTCACCATTTTTTCCCCCATTTTTTCCAGGCTATGACGTCATCGCCCAGGCCCAATCCGGCACCGGTAAAACACCTGTAAGGGTCACACCCATTTTTACCATTTTTCCCATTTTTTCACCCATTTTTCCAGGCTATGACGTCATCGCCCAGGCCCAATCCGGCACGGGTAAAACACCTGTAAGGGTCACACCCCCATTTTTCCCATTTTTCACCATTTTTTCCCCCATTTTTTCCAGGCTATGACGTCATCACATCTTTAGGATTATTCCCATCCCCATTTTTCCCATTTTCACCATTTTTTCACCCATTTTTTCCAGGCTATGACGTCATCGCCCAGGCCCAATCCGGCACGGGTAAAACCGCCACCTTCGCCATTTCCATCCTGCAGCAGGTGGAGCTGGAGCTGAAAGCCACGCAGGCCCTGGTGCTGGCCCCGACCCGAGAACTGGCCCAGCAGGTACCAGTACAAACCAGTATAGACCAGTATAAACCAGTATGGACCAGTATGGACCAGTATAAACCAGTGTAGACCAGTATGGACCAGTTTGGAGTGGGTTATACCAGTATAAATGAGTTAGAACCAGTCCTAACCAAAGCCACACAAGCCCTGGTGCTGGCCCTGACCCGAGAACTGGCCCAGCAGGTACCAGTATAAACCAGTATAAACCAGTATGGACCAGTATGGACCAGTATAAACCAGTATAGACCAGTATGGACCGGTATAAACCAGTATAAACCAGTATAGACCAGTATGGACCAGTATAAACCAGTTTGGATCATTACAAACCAGTATAAACCAGTATAAATGAGTTAGAACCAGTTCTAAGCAAAGCCACACAAGCCCTGGTGCTGGCCCCGACCCGCGAGCTGGCCCAGCAGGTACCAGTATAGAGCAGTATAGACCAGTATGGACCAGTATAGACCAGTATAGACTGGGATAAATGAGTTAGAACCAGTTCTAACAAAGCCATGCAGGCCCTGGTGCTGGCCCCGACCCGAGAACTGGCCCAGCAGGTACCAGTATAGACCAGTACGGACCAGTATAAACCAGTACAGACCAGTATAGACCAGTATGGACCAGTTTGGATCATTACATACCAGTATAAACTGGTATAAATGAGTTAGAACCAGTTCTAAGCAAAGCCACGCAGGCCCTGGTGCTGGCCCCGACCCGAGAGCTGGCCCAGCAGGTACCAGTACAAACCAGTATAGACCAGTACGGACCAGTATAGACCAGTATGGACCAGTATAAACCAGTATAAACCGGTATAGACCAGTGTGGACCAGTATAGACCAGTATAAACTGGGGTAAATGAGTTAGAACCAGTTCTAACCAAAGCCACGCAGGCCCTGGTGCTGGCCCCGACCCGAGAACTGGCCCAGCAGGTACCGGTACAAACCAGTATAAACCAGTATAGACCGGTACAGACCAGTATGGACCAGTATAGACCAGTATAGACCAGTATAGACCAGTATGCACCAGTACAAACCAGTATAAACCGGTATTAACTGGGATAAATGAGTTAGAACCAGTTCTAACCAAAGCCACGCAGGCCCTGGTGCTGGCCCCGACCCAAGAACTGGCCCAGCAGGTACCAGTATAAACCAGTATAGACCAGTATGGACCAGTATAGACCAGTACAGACCGGTATAGACCAGTATAAACCAGTATGGACCAGTATAAACCAAACCGGTCAAAACCAGTATGAAGCAGTCCGAACCGGTTCAAACCAATCCAAACCAGTCTATACCAATCTAAACCAGTCTAACCCAGTCCAAACCAATCCAAACCAGTATAAACCAATTCAAACCGGTATAAATGAACTTAAACCGATTCAAACCAGTATAACCCAGTCTGAACCAGTCTAAATCAATCTAACCCGGTCCTAACCAGTCAAAACCAGTCCAAACCAGTCTAACCCAGTTCAAACCAATCCTAACTGGTCTGAACCAGTATAAACCAGTCCAAACCAATCCAAACCCATCCAAAGCAGTCCAAACCAGTCTGAACCGGTCCAAATCAAATCTTAACCAGTCCAAATCAATCCAAAAGGGTCCGAACCAATTCAAACCAGTCCAAACCAGTCTAAACCAGTCCAAACCAGTCCAAACCAGTATAAACCAGTCCAAACCAGTCCAAACCAGTCCAAACCAGTATAAACCAGTCTAAACCGGTCCAAACCAGTATAAACCAGTATAAACCAGTCCCCGGCCGCCTGGGCAGGGCGGGGTCCCCGTGGCTCCGATCCCGAATCCGGCGGGGGCAGAGCAAAGGCGCTCCCAGTTCATCCCAGTATAAACCAGTATAAACCAGTATAAACCAGTCCAAACCAGTCCAAACCAGTATAAACCAGTCCAAACCAGTCCAAACCAGTATAAACCAGTCCAAACCAGTATAAACCAGTCTGTCCCAGTCCCCCGGCCGCCTGGGCAGGGCGGGGTCTCTGGGCCCCGATCCCGAATCCGGCGGGGGCAGAGCAAAGGCGCTCCCAG